TGTGTGTGTGTGTGTGTGTGTGTGTGTGTGTGTGTGTGTGTGTGTGTAATTGGGAAGCCCTGCTGAAGAACCTGCCAATACTGTGGAAAGGCAGGAATTCCTTGGTCCCCCTGTTTTGTTTCTATTTCAGGGAGGAAGGCGAGACCTGAACACCCAAGGAAATTAGTCCATCTTGGGTGCTAAGTAAGAAATCTCTCTTTTTTTCCCCCCTTTCTTTTTCTTTTGGGTTGTTCCAAAAGGTAAGTCCTGATCTGTGCTCCACGACTGCCTTGCCCTGCACAAATCAGGATTTCTCCAAACATATGGCTTGGTGGCAGCAACAGCTGTTTATTAGCAGGCACACACACACACACACACACACACACACACACACCCCTCTATTCTGGCTCCTCTCTCCCCCCCAAATCCCCAGAAGAAATGAAAAAGCTTTGCCTGCCCAGGAGAAACTCCCCGAGTTATGCCTTGTCAGCAGTCCCATCTGAACGCCACAGATCAAGGCTGACAATTTGTACGTCTAATCGGGTTGAGGTGGGCGGGCTGCCAAGATGATCTCCACACCGTGCAAAACACAATGATTTGAGATTGTGATTACCAATGCAAGGAGAAGAAAAACTGCAAGACCTCTTCAGGTCGCTTAAGAGATTAACAGATGAACCGAGTTTGAAGGGGCCTTATAGATCTTCTAATCCAACCCCCCCACCCCACCCCAAAAAAAGCAAAGGAGGAAGGAGAAAAGGGAAGGAGAGAAGGAAGGGAAGGAAGGAAGTAACAACAACAGCCCACTCCCTTCTAGCACTGATGATGTTCCCTAGTTGGGTCATGAAACTACCAAGAAAACCCACCAAGGTCAGAGAGCACCACGGACCCCTCTGTTCAGCCCTGAGCTCTCCAATATCCCCTTCTGTTGAGGCTCCATCTTTAACGAACTTCCTCTCTAAACGAGGGTTGAAAATCTCCTTAAATCTTCCAAAATTCCGTCTTTACCACCAAGACAGGCATTGCACGCCCTTCCCTGACTTTGGGCCGATTCTCACTTCCTTAAACCTTGCCACGGTCAAGAGGTTGGTCTTGAATCCTGGATTCAAGGCACCAAGAAGCCACGCCTTTCCTCTCCATCCTGGCCAACCGACTTGAACCCTGTTTTAATGCCTTCATTACTTAAAACACACACTAGGATCTTATTCTGGACCCCAAAAACGGAAGACACGAACAACAGAGAAGGCGGTTTTTGTAGGTCAGCTTCCCTTTCCCAGGCCTGGCCACTGTCCTTTGTAAATTAAGCACCGATACTATGTACCTTCCCGACATAGAAGCTCACTGCTTATTGTTTGTCTATTTTTATTCCCCAGTATATCAACCTACAGGTTTATTACTGTTTAGCTCGCTGACCTTTGAGCGCTTCGTGGTATTAGAGATGTAGCATGGACTTCACCGGGTGCGACCATCTATCACTTCCACCATAACAGGGGAGCTACTAATAACACTGGCAACGCAAGGCCTCCATCGAGATGGTTATGCATTGGCTTAGAGTGGAAAACAAAAAGAATCCCAGGCTGAAAACAGGCTGCTAAGGGACTGATGATGCCCCCTTTGAGGGATCTTTGGGGCTTTCAACCCCCACCGTTCCTTTCCCGCGGGGTCCTCGACGTTCTCCGAACTGGGTGGTTCCCTTGCAGACGTTTTATTACCCAACGAGGTAACATCATCAGCGCTAGGCAAGGCTGTTTATGTACGGTAGCTCTGAGCTTGGCTGTTTTCTTGCAGACCTTTCATTACCAAACGGGGTAACGCCGTCAGTGCTGGCGAGTGTGATTTGCTCCCTATTTCTATTCAGTAGCACCCAGACCCTAAATTCAGAGAAGCGGGGATTAGCACCAGACAAACGGAGTAGGTAACATCGTCAGTGCTGGAAGGAAGCGGGGTTTGTTCCTTGTTTAGCGTGCTTTGTCACTGTTGGTGGAGGGGGTAGGTAGTTCCTTGATTAGGGTTATCGTTTTCCCCTGGATTGTTTGTCTGGAATCAATCCCTGTTTATCTGAATATTGGGTGCTGGTTGCTGGTTGCAGGGCAAGCCACTGAATAATAAACAGGGAGTAAGTCACCAGCATCTAAGTTCAGAGAGTCTTCCTACCGCTACTATTCCTCTTCCTCCTCCACTCCACAAATCCCACTTCCTTCTAGTCCTGATGATGTGACCTAGTTGGGTCATGAAAGGTCTGCAAAGAAACAACCATCCTCCTCCCCGCCTTCTAGCACTGAGGTTTCCCAGTTTGCTAATGAATTCCCTGCAAGAAAACCACAAGACCCCCTAGCTAGAAATATTATCTCCCATCCACGCTCCTCGTCCGCTGGAGAAGGGCTCGCCTCGCCGTTTCTTTCCGTATCGGTAAGATCCTGACAAATCAACGACAGGAGCTCAAACACGGTTTCTCCACGGACCCCGCCTTTGTTATAAACCCAGAGTTGCGGCCTCTCTTTCCGCGCATCCCAATTAGGCTGTCTTTCAATCCACCGCCACACACCTGCCTCCAGAGATAATGCCGAGCCTCCTGCCCCAGCAGCGCCAGCATTCAGAGGCCAATAAAATAAATTGCAGGTCAAAACGATGACAAAGCTTCCCCCTCCGAAGGCAACCCGTCCCCTTCGCCGCAGGAGTGCCGTTCCCCACTCCACTCTCCCCGATACCAAACGCACCCTCAAATCCCACTCCAAACGGTCTGATTACAGGGGCCATTGGAGTTTAATAATCTGACTGTAATTCAGGCATTTTCAACAGCTCATTAAGGGTTCATTAATATATGGGCAAGCTCCTGAATTATAAGTAAGCAGATTAGAAACCCGCGGTGTCGGAATTGTACAGTTAGGTACGCTGGCTAACGGAATAATATCGCAGCTACAATGAAAGGGCTGCCCCAGAGAGTTCGTGGCGAGATAAAAGACAAAGCTTTTTCTCCAGCCTTATTTATTAATTCAGTTCCACGTTCACCTTGAAGAGAAGGCAATGCTGGGGTTTTGTTAACCGAGGCTTTTTAAGTCCGGTGTTTTCAAAACATGCCCATCACAAAGAAACACTGCGCCATAATATACAGAGGTTTAGGGGGTCCAACGGGTTAAAGAAGAGAATGGTAGGTCAGGAAGCAGCCAATGTCCCACCAGACAACTTCCAAGATAATGCTGCTTCTGTGCAAGGGGAAAAAAAAAATATCCAAAGTTTTCATCCCATTCCTGAGATTTAGCAAAGGGAAGAAAGAATAACCGAACGCAGGAGAGATCCAACCTAGAAAATGTCCTGACAGTGAGAACAATTAGGAAGTTGTGGAGGTTTTCAACGAGAGATTGAACGGCCATTTGTCTGAAATGGAATAGAGGGTTTCCTGCCTGAGCAGGGAGGGGGGTTGGTCTAGAAGACCTCCCAGGTCCCTTTCCAACTCTTGTCATTCGGCCTCACAGAATAAAGTGATGATGGTCTCGTTCGTGGAATTGTTCTGACCCAAACCTTGTTCCAAGGAAACAAACACAAAATGGAGGTAGCAGCAAAACCTTTTAATGATTCTTTACGACTTCCGTTCCTTCCCGGTTAAAAGGCTGTTTCAAACTAATTGTCTCGGATAAGAACAAGCCTTGCTAAGGTTGTGCAAGGCTGCCAAGAACACTAGATAAAGTCGCCAAGAAATATTTCAAAGACAAAGAGTCTCCCAACACAAACTAAGAGTCCGAACGTCCACAAGGCTTGAATGCAAAAACTTCTTTGCTTCCTGCAAAGAACTCTGGCTTCTCAGCTAACCTTTATCTCTTAAGGGAAAGGCCATCACTTTGCAGCCTTACTCCCGAGTCGCCTGTTACTAAGAACTATTTCAAACACAAAGAGTCTCCAAACACCAAGAGAGTCCGAACATCCACAAGGCTTGAGAGAAGGCCAGCTCCACTGGTATGGAAACGTCCAGAGTGGAGCACCTTCTACTGTG